ACACGATCAAGGTCAAATCAAGGGTATAACGGCGGCAGGGGGGGGTGCATTTCACTTATGAAACTTTGTTTATCGTGGAGACTGCCCAATGGCTGGGCAGTAGTGCTCAGGGACTTGCATTGTGTCCTCTAGCAAAGTTAGCTGATTTTGACAACCAAAAAAGTAGGCCGCCAGTCTCCTCATTTTTAGCTTTAGCTGCTTTGAAACAAGTACCTAATAACTATCATAAACAGCCCACAACTACCTTGCGGTGCTCCCTCTGATTGTGTACCCCAACCGGAATTAAAACCTGCTGAGGAGCTTGCCGCCTCTTCTGTTGCTGATCATACAACTTTCAGGCGATAAAAATGTTTATATCTCTGTTAGAAGCTTGTTTTTAAATGCTTTTGTTGGCATAATAGGCATTTTTTGTGCACCAGTGAAATTATCTTCACATAGTTTATACGAAATCACTGGCTATTACATACAGTAATTCGCGGTTAAAATTTTCTTATTTTCACATCCACCATACGTGTTTTCCTAGTTGTCAGTATGTGTGTTGCCCATCCAACCTTCGCAATATGAGCTATTTTTGTTTGCGTGAATTTGATTAGTGTCCTGTTTGTAAACCCACAGCCGTCGATCGCACTGTACGCGCCAGGCGTCTACCCTTTCCACCGCACCTCAATAACCCTCCACCGGCCTCCTCAGTTCTGCGTGTTGCCAACTCTCTGAGCGCTGGCGGTGACGGCGTTCGGCCGCAGCAAAAAGGTGTCCCCTGCTCCACACAAGCCCAGTCTACTCCCATCGGTACTTTTACGCACGCAGTGCGGGATCGGCCATCTGACGCAAATACCGTGACAAGTAAGACGCAGTTGTTTTATTTCGGCCCTCCAGCAAGACCACCTTCCCCTTTTCCTGTTAATTCCAGCCTTCATATCTGGTCTTGCCTCGTTGTACTTTCATTTTCATCTCTTTGACCTAGTTTTGCATATGATATAATCTTCCTTTAGTCCCAGGTATAAGGCTACCCCCGCCTAAGCAAATGTGTAGTTCGTCAAGTGTCAGTATTGACATATACCGCCGTCCGAGGGTTCGACGGAGACTTGTGCCACCTAGGATGCATCTATTCCTTGTAGCGCTACATAGAACCGAAGCCATTCCGCTTTATCGGCAATTTTCCCGAAAAAATGACGAGGAGCACTGTTGATCCCTCCATGTCACTGATCTTCAGTGCGGACCTCAAACTCCCGGTTGTCCAGAAACCTGGTTAAACCGTGAGGTTGGACGCAGGCAATGTAGGCTGGTCTCAAGAAACGAGTAAAATCTGCTTTTAGATTTAAGTTAGGTTCTCGTTCCCATATCTCATAACTATTAGTCAGCAATCTGCGACAGCAAAAATATTCATTGACATTTTTCACAACGAGGGTGCTAAATGTAATTCAGGATAAATTGCATGTTTTATCATGCATTAGGCAGAACCAATACCCAGACGACTTTTCGACGTTCTGCTTTTTTATCGGGACAATGCGTCTTTCCGTTTTTTCATTCAGTACACAGATGAACGATTCTAATTATTCCCATTGAAGTTTGGCAGGCGTCATATTATTCTCATCTCCTGATCTGTTTCCTCTTTCCGTCTCTCTCCCCCGCCCTGGTTCCATTCTCTCTTCTTCCTCCCTCCGACTGCCCCGATTCCTCTTTCCTACTCCTTCCAGCCTGCTTGCCCCTATGCAGTCGGTTGCGCCTCCCCTTATCTCACAATTTTCCCCTCATAGTGCTCTTGTTCCCTCCGTTTCGTTTTCTGAGCTTCTCTTTGTTTTTGTCCTCCCTACGATATAGATAAAATCAGAGTCACAGACTACAACAACGGCTTCGGCGTCGGTTGTCTGTCTAGTTCTCTGACCAGGGGCGCACATACAGTAGCGGACTCAAAGCAACAGAAGGCAATGCAGGCGGCAGCTGCCAATGCGACAGGACCAACCGTTCGGCATCCTATCAGCAACGACAGAATCAACCCTCCGTACGTATCCATCTAGTTTCTTTTCCTGCACCAGGCTAGTTTCTTCCCAGGTGATTTCTCGTCCATCATCTTCTACGAACATAACTGCTACCTCAACAGTGTAGCATGGTCTTGGGTAGTATCTACCTCACATCCTTCGCGCTAACCACGTTGAAAAAGTCTAAACGTTTAATAATTAAAATTGCTGCACTTGCCGATGCGCCTGGCCTCACTTCAACTTGTGTGCCATGCACGCACTACCTCTCACGAATCGGACTTCACGTGGAGAGTCCAAAATTCGAATATCAAAGGAATTTACTGCGAGAGCTACGTGAAACAGACGTTAAAGTCGGACTCTGAAATCAAAATTACGTAGTTCTGCCGTGGGTGGGCCACCGTTTAAGCCATGGCTCTTGTGGTTAGTCCGCCCGTGGTACGTCCAAATCAAAGTCAGATTGAGTTCATTGGCTGGTGTGGTGTCATGACACCCGTTTTTGACTAACAGCGACGCAGCCTGTCACCTGCGTTCCAAAACATGTATACTGTCCACTTTGGTCGATGCAACCTTCTGCTTGGTTTCTCGGTCGAATAAGAATTCCCATTAGATGCAGACGGCAGTCTGTCGTTCGAGGGCGCGGTGAAAGTCTGTTGTTCCGAGTGTGTTCAGTGGTAAATTCGATCCTGGCAAGCGAGGTATTCCTTGTGTAGGCCTGTGGTGACCGAAAGTTGGCCGACTACCATATACCGGTTCTCCTTCCACGTGTCTGTCCTTGCGGTGCGTGCACTCTACTCTCTTGTTTTCTTAACTTTGT